AACACAATTCTTCTTCTTCTTCTAAGTTGTCCATGGGCCTTTATTTTTAAATTTATTTTTGGGTGGTGCTGGGGTTTGAACCCAGGGCCTCACACATGCTAGGCCAGCGCTCCACCCCTGAGCCCCAGCCCCAGGCCCCAAAGGTCCCATTCTTAAATTACAGTTCAACAAATTTTGACATTTGGACAGACCCAGCTGTGACCAGTCGGATGTGCAGTATCCCCAGCAGTCGGGAGTGACCCTCGTGCGCCTTCCGACTCCTTTCACCACGACTGACTTTGCCTGACCCAGAGCTGCACTCGCTGGTGTCACAGGGCACATGGCTCTGTCATCTGGCCGGCTTCCTCCCACGCTGGTGTCTAGGTCTCCGCGTTGGGTGGGATCCGCGTTCCTACTTCACGTGCAATAGAGTCTTCGGGTACAGACTGGTTGACTTTCCCCCTGCCCACGGGTGATGGAGTCGAACTCTCCCGTGCGCCTCTGCTGTGCATTTCGCGTGTCTGTTGGTAGAAAGAGCTTTAAAAAAATACATTTTGTGGGTGTGACTTCCTTACTGGTGGTGCCTCCCTCAGGGACCCTGGATTGTGCACTGGGACTCGGGGCTGGTCCTTGCCCCTCTTGAGGGTGGAGCACACTCAATTTGATAAGAGCTTCAGCTCTTCTTCCCAGAAGAATGTCCCCATGCTCAACATGGTGCACGTGGCCCCAGGATGTGGTGACTTCGGGGTTCCTGCCGTGTGTCCTTGGTGAGGTGATGCTCTGGGACAAGTGAGTCCTACGGGTAAGTTCAGCTGGTCAGGAATGGCCCCTCATGGGCCGGGAACATGCTCAGTGCCCCTGGACAGAGGCCCCCCACCTTCCTGAGCCACTCTGGCCAGGGGTCTGGAGCCACCCGACCGATGAGAGGCATCTTATCCAACCCCCCAACGTCCAGGCAGAGCGGGCTCACAGGTTCTGAAGGGCATCCGGAGGAGGGATCCCACAGCCAGGCCACCAGGTCCCCGGCTCCAAGTGCTCCATGTGATAGACATTTTCCCAGAGCTCCACGGGACCTGCGCCAGGGCCCTGGACTCGGCTCCCCTGGGGTCTGGATGAGGCTGCGGACGTCTTCCCGCATCCTCCCAGGTGACGCCAACAGTGGCTACTCCTTATAGGTCCCTCCTTGTCCCTGGGTGTGTCCCAGACCCCAGTGGGGTCCTCCTTGTCCCTGGGTGTGTCCCAGCCCCCAGTGGGGTCCTCCTTGTCCCTGG